TGCCGCGTTTCTTTTTTTTTCAACTAATTAATTAATTAAACAAAATTGATAATAATAATAACAATAATAATAATAACAAAAACAACTTAATTAACATTGGATAACAATACATAAACTAGAAACAACAAAATGCAACTTTCCATTTTTCCTTTTTCATTTTTCTCATTTTGCATCATTTTCTTTTTTTCTTTTTTTTTCTTCTCTTTTTTTTCACAAATTTTACGTTAAAACTTAAAACTAAAACTAAAAGCTAAAACATGAACAAAATTAATATGACAAATAAAACTAAAAATAATTAGCAAATAAAAGATAAATAAAAAGGTAAAATGAATAAAAATAAAATAACAACTAAAATGCAGACAATCTAAAACAAAATCATGAATTAGATGCAACATACAAATTATTTAAAATTTGGTGTCTACACTTTGTCATTCCTTTACATGTTTTATCTTGCATTAAGGAGGTTTGATATCAGAACATTTTATATTTTTTGACTTGTGTTTGTGGAATGGGATAGTGTATGAATTCAACAAAATTGGTGGTTTTGTTATTCAAAAGATGATATTTGCTTTATACATGTATTCAAAAGGATAATTCCAGTATTTCATTTACGTGTGGGAGCTAATTTCTGTTATATTCTTGTTCATTGTCTTGATCTTTGATGAGATTCTGGCACACATAATTGTGTTCTCAAGGGGATGGGTTTCTGATTTGTCCTATTGAATGATTCTAAATAAGAGAATTTACCAAAATGTCCTTAGAAAATTGAAATTAGATGCATAATTGTAGAAGCTTTGAATTTCATCCAGAGATCATGTAGCAGCTGGATAAATGATCTTTGCTGCATCTTCTTGTGTAGAAGGTTGAAGAATGTTGCTTCGTTCTTTTGAAGATGACCATGTTCTTTTGTTCTACCAATGTGATAGTTGTCATTTACTTTCTCATCAAAGTTTCAGTGCACTTATGGAGCTAATCTAAATTTTTAAGATATCGGAATAGAGCTCTATAGTAAGAAAATATTTGTATGCCTCAATAGTAACATTTGATTTACTTTGGTTTTAGGAGCTATACCATGAATTGCATGCATTGGACAGATTTGAACAAGATTACCGGCGCAAGGCCCAGGAAGAAGACAACTCAAATTCTACTCAGAGGGTAAGGAAGTTTACATTTCTTATAGAGGCTTCATCTTGGTTATTCACATTGTCCATTGTTTTACGGCTTCTCTTATGTAATTTTGTAGATAAACTCGTAGTGGAATGTTGATTGTATGCTTTGCTTTCAGTATCTCTGACATGGTTTTGAGTATTCTGCAAATCAAATATCTTTGCTTCTAGACATCAATCTTAGGCCCATGAAATGTTGGGGATCATTCCCATTTGTTCACTTTTTATTCAAACATGTTGGCCAAGTTAGGAACTACTAGCAGGTGCTAATTTTCTACTCTGCTTTTCATTTTTCTTACCAGTACTTAGTTTTGAATGACTATACCTTAAAAGAAGTAATACTTACATTTTTCTTGTGCTTCATAGAGTTTCAGCTTCCCGTGTTCCAATCTTCAATAGTCCACAGAATAAGATAATTATTCTCTAGTAAACCTAGTTGAGCAGATATACTTCAATGGATATCACTTCTGCAGATTTTAGCAATGTTTTTGACCTCTTTTTCTGTCATATCAACAGACTATATAATGGATTTTGATTGTGATTATTTGTATTGTCGTAGGGCCCAACCTGCAATCTTTTTTTAACTTTCCACTTTAGGAGAAATCCATTTTATCTTTTTTTCCGATACTTTCACAGATTGTGATATGAGAGAATGAAACTCTACCTATTCATTCTGAAGGTTTGTTTTGAAATGTGTGAAATTAATTGTATTCTACCCCTTTAAAATTTTGTGGGGCCATTTCTCAATTTTTTGAGCATGAGCAACACTAGTCAATATTGTTACATAATCTGGTCTTTTACTGATTGGTTGTGTTAACAGGTATTTTGGGAGGAAAACATCTAGTCACCGTATTATGAGTGACCAACTAGTATTTATAGGAGTACAAATCTAACAAACTATTTACAAGAATACCCTTACTAATTTATTATCTACAAGAATACTTATATTCTCTTAACACTCCCCCTCAAGTTGGAGCATATATATCATAAGCACTCAACTTGTTACAAATGTATTTCATCCTAGAGCCTCCTAAACTCTTGGTAAACACATCAGTCAATTGATCTACAGATGGTACATGAGATGTCTTGATGACCCCGTCAAGCAATTTCTCTCGAATGAAATGACAATCAACTGCAATATGTTTTGTCCTTTCATGAAACACTGGATTAGACGCAATATGAACAGCTACCTGATTATCACACACTAAATTCATAGGCTGTTTATGCTCAAACCCAAGTTCCAGTAACACGCTCTTCAACCAAACCAACTCACACACAGTGTGAGCCATAGCGCGGTATTCAGATTCTGCACTTGATCTGGATATAACTGTTTGTTTCTTACTCTTCCACGACACTAAATTATCACCAACAAACACACAATATCCTGTAGGCGATCTTCGATCTGAGGCAGAACCAGCCCAATCTGCATCACTATATCCTTCAATATCAGTGTCCATGATTTTGATACAGCAACCCTTTTCCAGGAGCACTCTTAAGATACCTGAGAATCCGTATAACAACATCCCAATGACTAGTACGAGGGGTATCAAGAAATTGATTCACAACACGCACTGCAAACGAAATGCCAGGTCTCGTTACAGTGAGATAATTTAATTTACCCACAAGTCTTCGATATTGCTTAGGATCATCAAGTAATGCACCTTGATCTCCTGCTAATTTCACATTGGATTCATAGGAGTATCCACAGGTCAGCAACCTAACATCCCAACTTCACTCAACATATCGAGTACATATTTTCTTTGACATAAATAAATCCCATATTTAGACCGAGCTACCTCAATACCCAGAAAATACTGTAGATGACCTAAATCCTTTGTCTGAAAGTTTGCCTGCAGATTGGATTTAAGTTTCTGGATCCCCACAACATCATCACCTGTAATCACAATGTCATCCACATAAACAACTAATAAAATTTTACCAGCATTAGATGCCGATAAAATACAGAGTGATCTATTCCACATCTTGTCAGACCGAACTTCATGACAACACTACTAAACCGGCCAAACCAAGCCCTCGGAGACTGTTTCAATCCGTATAAGGATTTTTTCAAACGACAAACCGACCGCGGATTCTTCCCCTGAACAACAAATCCAGGAGGTTGTTCCATATATACCTCTTCTTCCAAATCTCCATGCAGAAATGCATTTTTCACATCCAACTGATGCAATGGCCAATTATAAGTTGCTGTTAAAGAGATAAGAAAACGAACAGAGGTAATCTTTGCAACAGGAGAAAATGTTTCTAAGTAGTCTACTCCATACACCTGAGTAAATCCTCTAGCTACCAGACGAGCCTTCAATCTATCAATAGAACCATTAGGCTGCACTTTTATAGTGTACACCGATTTACAACCAACAACAGGCTTACCTGAAGGACGAGGGACAAGATCCCAAGTATCATTTTGTTCCAAAGCAGACATCTCTTCTTGCATAGCTAATCTCCAACCAGGATGATTAAGAGCATAGGTAATAGACTTAGGAATGGAGATAGAATCAAGGGAAACAACAAAAGAAGAATATGACATAGAGAGACGAGAATAAGAAACAAAATTAGAAATAGGATGGGAAGTACAATGTCTCTTACCTTTGCGTAAAGCAATAGGAAGATCTAATTCATAGGAGGGCGTCATACCTGGATTTGAAGATGGAGAGTTAATTGGTGAAGTGCGTGGCATATCAGGAACTTTCTCAACCATGGAATGACGAGAGTAAACTTGAAGATAAGGACGAGATAATCGAGCTATGGAATCTGGTGGACTAGATAACTCGGGTAATAAAAGGGAAGGGACTGGTAAAACAGGAGAGGAAAAAGAGGGACACTGGTCTAACTCACAAGACATACTTTGTTTGATAAAATATGGAGTGGATTCAAAGAAAGTAACATCAGCACAAGTAAAAAATCGATTTAAAACTGGACTGTAACATCTATACCCTTTTTGCGCTCCTGCGTATCCTAAGAAAATACACTTAATAGCACGAGAATCTAATTTATCCACCCCAGGAGCAAGCTGATGAACAAAGCACACATCCAAAAATACGATGAGGCAATTTAAACTCAGGTTTATGAGGAAAAAGAATGGAGTGAGGTAATTGACCTCCAAGAATATTAGATGACATGCGATTAATTAAATAACATGCAGTTGGAACTGCATCACTCCAAAATTGTTTGGGTACATTCATGTGCAACAACAGTGTTCGAGCAATTTCGATTAAATGTCCAATTTTTCTTTCAGCAACTCCATTCTGTTGTGGAGTGTGAGGACAAGAGGACTGATGAATAATACCAGACTGAGTCATAAGGGTATTAAAAGGAGTGGAAAAATATTCTTTCGCATTATCACTGCGAAGTATACGTGCAGGCACACCAAATTGATTCTTTATTTCTGTAATAAATGTATAAAAAATGGAATATAATTCTGAACGATCTTTCATTAAATAAAGCCATGTAACTCTGGAAAAATCATCAACAAAGACTACAAAATATTTAAAACCTAACTTTGAAGTGACTCGACTAGGACCCCAAACATCAGAATGAACTAACAAAAAGAGTTCAGAAACCCGTTTATTGACTCTAGGAGCAAAAGAAACACGATGATGTTTTCCTAACTGACAAAACTCACATTCTAACGAAGATAATTGACCCAAAGTAGGAACCAACTTTTTCAAATTTTGTAAAGACGGATGACCTAAACGACAGTGAATTTCAAGAAGAGAAACAGTAGCAGGACATGCTATCGGACCATTGAAGTTGAGAAAGTAAAGACCATTGTGCTCATGCCCTCCACCAATTGTCCTCTTTGTCTTCAAATCCTGAATGACAACAGAATCAGGAGAAAAAGCAACTGTACATTGTAGAAATTTAGTGAGCTTACTAACAGACATTAGATTAAAGGGCAAATTGGGTACGTACAGAACAGAAGACAGCGGAAGTGATGGATTAATTTCTACAATGCCTAGTCCTTTGACTTTAGTGGTAGATCCATCAGCTAAAGTAACATGAGGAAAGGGAGTAGACTCTTGAAAATTAGAAAAAATTTTAGAGGTACCTGACATATGATCAGTAGCCCCGGAATCAATAATCCATGAGTCATTATCTTTTTGTGCTAAAGAAGCAGAGGGAAGAGATGCGTGATTTGTAGCTTGGTACTGTAGGAATTTAACATAATCTTCCTCAGATATAGTAACAGTCTTCTAGGACCCATGTGCTGAAAAACTCGATTCAATTTGGTCAGTGGTAACCGCATTAACAAACCTTTCAACCATGACGAATAGCACGTCAAACCAAAGACAGGGTCAAAACTCGAGATAACAGTGACGTGTGAATAGTATGCGTGAACAGTGCTGTGCCGTGAACAGTACTGCGCCGTGAACAGTACAGCGTGAACTGTGTTGCGATGAACAGTGTGGCTGAACACTACTTTTGACTAGATGTTTAACTCTAACCCTATGACTTTTGCTCTAATACCATGTTAACAGGTATTTTGGGAAAAACATCTAGTCACCGTATTATGAGTGACCAACTAGTATTTATAGGAGTACAAATCTAACAAACTATTTACAAGAATACCCTTACTAATTTATTATCTACAAGAATACTTATATTCTCTTAACAGGTTGGATCTTTGTTGGTTGGTTTTAATTCAATATTTTCAATGTGTCTTACAGTTCTGTTGTGCTCATTGTTCACTGGTACTTTATCTTCAGTTGTGCTCAAAACTGTTGTGCTCTTTGTTCGCTGGTACTTTATCTTTAATCATGAAAACTTATTTAGCAAGTTGGTAGATTATGTGCTTCTACGGATTCAATTGATTCTTATGCTTATAGCATCAGTTTTGAAACAACTTATTGCTATCTTTTTGTATTTGTAGGTGACAGCCTTGCAATTTTAAGGGCAGAATTGAAGAGTCAAAGGAAACATGTGAGAAGTTTAAAGAAGAAGTCCTTATGGTCCAAGATTTTGGAAGAGGTATCCATTCACTGCATAATTGATAATGATTGCTTCCTTTTAAATGCTAATTTGTTATGTGGGACAACTTGATTAAGTAAGCCATTAAGAGGGTAATTTGATTGGAAACACCTTAGTTCACCAATGACATTTTGGAGTTTCTTCTTAAGCTTAGCTAATATAACTACTTTATTGTATTTCAGGTTATGGAAAAGCTTGTGGACATTGTCCACTTCCTGCATCTAGAAATTTGTGCTGTTTTTGGCATGGCTGGTAATACAGTGAAACCTTCAAAAATATTACTTTCAGACATTTACGTGGGCCTGTAACACTGAGAACTTGTTTGCAGAAGAGTGATGTGCCATTGTTTTTTCTTTCCTAACAGGCTTCTTTTGTAACTGATGCTTATTCATATCAAGTGCTAAAATGCTGGCCATTTAACTTTTTTGTGCATATTGATTCTGAGTTGTATCAGTCGTGCATTGAATTTCTTTTTTGGTTTTAATAAATGGAAATGCAAATTTAATCTCTGGTCAAAAGTCAAAATGCGCTTGCAGCAAGAGAAAATTCATTGAAAAGGAGGACTCTTGTAATTTGAATAGTTTTGTTTCATGTATCGATGAAAATTGGAAGTCTTGTCTTTTAATATTTTCTTCTCTTAATTTTTTTCCATACTTTTGAACAAGATATTGAAATACATGTTAGCTAAATTGAAAGACCCCAAAGAAGTACCATGTACAAAGGCAATACAAAGAAATCATCTTTTCACTGTATTATGACATGTAGGGGGCCGTTTGGTTTAGGGTTTTGGTACTTGGAATTACAATAATTCCAATACTGCACGCTTGGTCCAGTGCAATGGGAATTGAAATATTGGAATCATGCCTTAAAATTTGGCCATTCATGATTCCCGACCAAATTGGGAGGAATTGACCAAAACCCTCATTAGTGGGCCCTCTAGGAATTATTCCATTTCCCTTTCCAATTCCAAAGCAAGAACCAAGCACCCCCTAGGTTTTACACCTAAGTTATGTAATCTCTTACTGCATGTCTATTGACTTCTTGTATTTGCAGATGGAGATAGACCAATAAAGAACAGTCATCAGCGATTGGGTCCTGCTGGGCTTGCTTTACATTATGCAAATATCATCAGTCAAATTGATACACTTGTAAGTCATACTGTCACTTACAGATACAAATTATGCAAGGAATTCTTATGGTAATCCCTGCTCTAGTTCCTAAAGTTTTGATTTTTTTGGTTAGATAGCTTTCTTATGTCTTTTGATTCTCATGTCCAGTCAGTCAGTTTCTTCAGTAGTTGCCAATAATTTTTGTCACTTGAAGATTTTGATGTTTAATTATTTTGTGTATGCAGCACTTTCTTGTAAATCATTGAATCATATTCCTATGCCACCAAACAAACTTCTGCAAGAAATGCATTTAGGAAAATGGATATCTAGATGCTCCGAATAATCTTATATATTGTGGCTATTGGGTTGTTCACTTTCTTTTCCATCTTATATACTTGTTCGCCACTATCATTTGGTTGTGAAATTATGTGATGGAACCTTAGGCAGATGAGAACAGAACTTTAAAGTGTATTTTTTTTAAAACAGTCTTACCAGATAGAGAACACCAAAAGGTGGAATTGTTACAGTTGAATTAATTGGTCTTCTTGATACGCATCCACCATTTGAATTTTTAGTTCATATCTTACTTATCCTCTGGAGGTACACTTTATTAGCTTATTGATTTCATAGTTGACTGTCTGACATGACACTTGCATTTCAACCATCTTCTGTAACAAAAATGCTTTGTTTCTCATTTTTAAATGCTTGGGAGTTAATAGTGGTGTTGAATATATCTAGATATGTGTGATATATTATACATCAATTATAGGGATTAGATAGCCTGATTATCCTAGTTTAATTATAGGAAGTAGATAGCTAATTATTCTAGCTTGATTTTAGGATCTTGATAGCTTGATTTTAGGATCTAGATTATTTCAATCTTGTATATATATGTCAGTTGTACTACTCACATATGAGTGTGTAGGAATGTCATCCCAAAATATCTTCTTCTCTTGCTTCTTCTCTTTCAAGTGGGAATGTGCTTGGTTTGTTTCTTTTGTTCTTGGGATAATCTTCACATAGTGTAATTGCTTTGAAAGAGAAGTTGTGCTGGTTTTTAGATGTTTAATGTGTTATTTTGTTCCAGCTTTTCAACAGTGTCTGCAAGTCCACATCAGGACTACTAGGCGTGTACAGCAGAGATATGCTTGTGGTTTATTAATTGAAAGAGAGAGTAGAAACCCTTATGATTGAGTCTGAATGGGAACCAGTAGTTTCCCCCCCTAATTGTCTTAATATGGGCCTTTCTGTGGTTCTTTGTTTCTTCCAGGCTTTGATGTGTTGTGTTAGTATAGGTGTAAAAGAACCTGGCTGGTCACAAGTAGCTGGATACTTCAGTAAAATAAAATAAAAAATTCAGCAACTTGGATTTTCAGAGCTTAAGCTTTTAACCCCACCAATCTGACCAGATTTTTATACTGGTTCTCTTCCCTGTTCCTCCTGTCCATGTTTCTTTTCTTGTGAACTTTGTCTTTTGTCCTCCTGCCCCTCTCACCTCTCTTGTTCTATTTATTTTACACCTCTCATGTTGACTTATCTCTATCTTTCTGAACCAGCCTTTCACACTAATCAGTTCTCCACCTTCTCTACAGTGAATTCAATGTCTTAATAGAAGCCACTAAAAACTAATAATCACTATAATCACAATTCTGATTAAGACTATTTACTCCATCTAGATTTGGCCCAGCCTTTTCTTCTGAGAGAGATAACCAAATCGTAACCCTTAACTTTTTCAGTTTTTTGGAAAGTAGTAATGTAAATTTAAAATGCTGAAGATGCAAGTTTTTGAACGAGATTATCAGATTTGAATCATTGGATGTTGAATGGATTGCATTACTAAGAAATTGATTGTCAGAAGTTGATTTCTGTTAAGCCTATCTGAGTCATATTCTAGTCTTGATGGTTTACTCGAGTAAAGATCAAGCCAAAGAACTAAATTTTCCTAGCTCATGCTCAATTTCAAGTATGGTATTTCTATTCGAGTTCAGCTTCAGCATAGCTGCTGGTGAAGCTCCACTTAGCTTGATTGTCCTGCTAAGTGTATTATATAAAATATCCTGAAAAATCCTAAAATACATGATTTCATGTAATTTTGATTGTTACATATTGTATATTACAAAATTACATTTCTCTAATTGAAAATCTAAGCTCTACCAGTGAGTTTTCCTTCTTTTGTATCTTGAAGAGGCTGGCAAAAGCTCTGCCATTTTGTTTGAGATGCCACTTTTTTGTCCATGAATTATAAGATAACAATACTTTCGTTTTCCATCATATTTTGGGCACATGGTGATTTTGCAGAATTATGATTTACTTTTGTTTTTCTTCGCGTTTTTTGAAAAGCTATATTATATCAAATGCTACCAGTTGTACTATCCGATGGCAAAACCCACTCCTTTTTCTAGGTTTGTGCTTGACTGTATCTTTTCCTGAATCAGAATTTTTTGTCTTGAGGTCCAGTCTGTACATGACCTTGAGAGTGGCGATAGATTTAGAAGAAACCAGTTTATGAAATGTGTTGAATATTGTAAAGAAAGAAAACAAAGGAATAACTTGATATAAAAACCTATAAAAATAAGTTCTGTAACAGAAATTCATAAGTTATCATGATGCTTCAAATTTATCTAGAAGGTAAGATTTGGAAGTGTGCGTCTTTTTTTTTAGTTAGTAGTTGAACTCTCTAAGCTGGATTTGATCTTGCAATTTTTATTTTTTAAAGTAGCTGATTCTATAAATTTAAAATCAGGTTACTCGTTCAAGTTCAGTGCCTCCAAATACAAGGGATACTTTATATCAAGGACTGTCCCCATGTATAAAGTTAGCTTTACGTTCTAAATTACAATCCTTTCAGCTCACGGAAGAGGTACTTTTCTAGCCGATCTTTTATGGAAATTACAATTTTCCTCTCTTAATGATAGTTTAATTATAAATCTTTATGAGGTTTTTCTGTTTTATATGCTGCTGTTATATTATTCATCTACATCACACTTATTGGTTTCCAAAATTGTCTTCTTGCAGATGACTGTCCAACAAATCAAAGCTGAAATGGAGAAAACTTTGCACTGGCTTGTACCTATGGCCACCAACACTACCAAGTAAAGTACTATAGAGACATTCTGTATGCTGTGTGAACATCTATACTCTTCTATACGTTGCTTCCTGTCCTTGACAATTGGCATATTGAGTATCGAAGCTGCTAAACTCATTTATCCTTTCCTCTTATCATTCCTGCAATATTCCTTCAATTTCCTGATTGTAATAGTTGTACTAATTTGGTCCTTTCTTCCGAATCAAACATGGTTTAAACCAGGGCTCACCATGGCTTTGGTTGGGTTGGAGAATGGGCAAGTACTGGGTGAGTTGGATTCTGACGATATTTATTGTATAGTATTGTTGTTCTGTGTCTTACTGTGTACTTGCTTCTTCTTAGGTCTGAGATGAACAGGAAAGCTAGTGGCCAGACCGATTTACTTCGAATAGAGACACTGCATGATGCAGATAAAGAGAAGACTGAAGCTTATATTCTTGATTTGGTGGTGTGGCTTCATCATCTTGTCACCCAATCAAGGGCTGGAACTAGATCTCCTGTTAAATCCCCTATTCGCTCTCCAAATCAAAAGACAAAGTTGACAACATACAAACCAAACTGTCCATCGCCAACACTAACCATCGAAGACCAGGAGATGCTTCGTGATGTAAGCAAGAGGAAATTGACTCCTGGAATAAGCAAGAGCCAAGAATTTGATACTGCAAAAACAAGGTTAAGCAAGCATCACAGGCTAAGTAAGAGTAGCAGCCATTCTCCTACAAGTGAAACTAAGAAGGAGCCCTTCCCCATCAGAAGGCCATCTTCTGTTCCTGTAATCGACTTTGAGATTGACCGGATCAAAGCATTGGATGTTATTGATAGAGTAGACACACTTCGTACAGGACAATTGTAGGCATTATAGCTGGATTGAAAGGAGATTTGCATTTGATGTTTGTGCAGTCATCTTCAACATTTTCAGGCAGTCGCTTGTCAAGGACAGGACCTTTGAAAAATAGAGTGGACCAACATGTACCACCTTTCCTCTCAATTCTGCACTAATTATGGTCGAGGATAAGGACAGGTCCGGGAGAATTTGTGGATGAAGATGGGTTAACTGTCCCAACTCCCAAGGTGTTTTATTAATGTCTCGAGGTATTTTATTAGTCTTTTGAATGAAATGTTCCAAGGGTTAGGGTTGATTTTTTCAAATCGTTAGTATCAGTTTCATATGTACAGTATTTTTCTCAATAATTAAAAGTCATGGTTTTGTTTTTGGCTCGTGTTGTCATTTTCTATTTATTTATGTGGAACTCTAGGATTCATCTCGTGAGGACTCGTAAAAACTATTATTTTATGCCTAATTTAGGGCTTAAAAAATTATTTAATTAGATTTTTGCCACGAGAAATATTTTCTAGTTTTATTAGACCTAAATACATGGTAATATAACTTCGTTATATTTTTAAAGTGACTCGTTTTAAAAATTAATTTTCTGGAGCGCGTTTAGTAAAAATAGTGAATAGTGCTTGGAGATTTTATCCGCGTAAGAGCACAATAAACTTGGAATATTGGAGACTTGTACTACGGTCCTAAAATAGGTAATCTTATAAATAAATACTCAAGTGATAGTTAGTAGTGCAATCGTTATAAGAATTTATTGGAAGTTTCGCGTTACAGCGTTAAAATTGACGGTACGCGTTTTCACACGCGCGACTTTATTTGAGGGACTTTAGACCTTTATTTCGGGACAATTAAGAGTGAATAATATTTATATGAATATAAATGCATTGGAGGTTCAGTGCACTAGTGAACCAAACGCGCGAGAAAATCGAGTCTAAATCGCGCCAAACGCACCCTAATGTGAGTTGACTAATGGGTGATTTGTGGCCACAAGTTAGTATCTTCCCTTGGAAGCTTAAAAGAAATCTGATCACTCTCTCTCTTCCTCCAAGACAGCCGGCCAACATCTCTCTCTCTTAAGCTTCATTGCTCTTCATTTTTCTTCACCAATCAACCCAAAATTTCAACAATCTTCACAAACTTGGAGATCATCTAGCAAACTACTTGGAGGTTGGATTTAGCTAACTAAAGGCTGCATTTCACGGTTTCTTAGAGCTCTTGAGGATCGAAAATTTCTGGTAAGGCACTAAGGAGGTATAACTTCATCCTACACCTTAACTTGGATTATGATGGTAGAAATGCATCTTTAAGCTATTGCATGTGTATGGGGACTTGATATGGTTGGAAAATGTGATAGTGGACTCTTGGAATTCCCACACTTGGGTTGTTGTTGCTGATTAGAGGATTAATGTTGGATTTAATGGTAGTTTAGTGGTTAAAATGATGGATTTATGGAGTATTATTGTTGGAAACTCAAAGTTGAGGTCATGACAAGAAATTTCCGAAACTGCCCCTGTTTTGTTCGGCCACTATAAGGCCAATTTTTGGTGATTTATTGGCATGAACCTGATGTTATATTTATACTATATGTGTAAAAATTTTCGTTGGAAAACATTAACGTTTGGGAGTGATCTTATTAATTGAAATTTTGATGCTAAACCATTACCAAAGGTATCATGGATGTATCTTAGACCTTTATTTCACCAATGAACCATGGTTGGATAGATTTCTTGGTTAAACGATTTGAAATTGGGAAATGAAAGTCAAAAGGCAGATTGCCTTAGAATTTTTCCTGAACTTTGGTTGACTAATTAACTATCTTTCCGAAGGTATTTTTTCCCTGAAATTTGATTAGATAGAGCGGTACCTTTCATATAGGAGTAAAATACTGCCAATTTTGGTACCAATCCAAGTTCGTTTCGATATCTAATTAAATTTCTAGTGTTGGAGGTTCAAATCTGGAAATTCTTCTCCAGTCTTGAATTTCCCCAACTTCGAGCTACGTATCTCGGTACTCGAAACTCCGATTCTTGATCCGCTTGTTTTGTTATAAACCTCACTTGCAACTCTAATTGAGTGACAAATTTCAGAGGCTGGTTTGCCACGTGTGAATCGTGCCGAATTTTCAAAGTTGGCCGAAATCCAACTTAATTCTGCCTTGTACGCCGAGTCTGTATCTTCAAGCTTATTTTTGAGTACTTTCCACTTAGATTCATGGAAAGGTGTCTTCTAAGAACTTTTAACACTTTCCAAAAGGTTTCCAACGGTATAAAGTTTACCAATTTTGGGCTTATATCGAGAGAGATTCGAATTTTCAAAGATTTAGGATAAAACTGAAATTTCTCAATTTTCAAGGCAAAGGAGTTTTTCCAAAACTCTTAATTCTCTTAGTATTATTCAAACGTTTTGCCCTCGATTTTCATGATAAAAACTCAAATAATATTGTACATAATAGAAGGCAAGTTGAACCTCGATTTACGAGTAATTGAGGTTCCTTTTGTGAAATAATCTTTAGATTGTATTAGTGTACAATCTTCCTTGATAATTGGATTATTGAGTGATTATCCACTATTAATTGCCAGGCGCACAAGGAGACCTTCAAGAGGATCTCACTGTGGACACTTGAACTCCCAGAAAACAATTCTTATTGAATTGCTCGGTGAGTGTCAAGTGTGTGAATCTTTGATACTTGCTTATTTGTGGTAATTGTTGGAAGTTTTAAAAATAAAGGCGGGTGCGTACTTTATCGCACTCGTTCTAATTTCAAATGAATGATTGAAATGTATTGAATGAATGAATGAAATGCAATGTTATGTTATGATTACATATGTCGTTGGAGTGAACCTCCTCGACTTTCAAATGAATGGGGGACGCCCAAACTCATAGGCCGACCTTGGACTCGAGCCGGCAATGGGCTTGGTCGGGAACTTGGGCGAGCCATGAGATTTATAAGCTCGACCTAATGAGAGGTCTTGCTTGGCATACTCGTGGAGTATCGCCTTATAAATGACTTGTGGGCCCTTGAGGTGTACGGTGGACGGAGGGAAGTAAGTGGTGATCTACGGAAATGGAAATACCGACCCGGTTGACAGGAGGGTCAACGCGGGAAGGTATACGAATGACATCGGCAGAACGAGTGGAACTTAGCTCCTGAGAGCTACTATATCTTTGAATTGTTTCTGATTACTTTTCCTGTTCGAATGATTGATTATTGAAAGGACATAGTTTTATTTATTAAATTGGAATTGCTATTTGAACAAAGTGCTTGCATGTGTGTTCTTGGCCTCACGAGCGTTTAGCTCATCTTATAGTTTTGTTTTCCTTAACAGGACCGAATCTTGGAAAAGTATGGAGAAACCCTTCGTTGTACTTTTGTTAAGACTCCTGCTATATTTTGACTAGGCCCTGGTTTGAGTTGTACTTTTGGAATTGAAATGTAAAAATTTGGGCCCTGACGTGTATTTTGAACTTAAGACGTATTATGATTTCCGATGTAATGGTTACATGTTAAGTGACTTGTTAAGCTTGAACGCTTCCGCATTATTGTATTCATGTTGCTCTCTTCGAAATGTTTAGTTCGATTTTGAATTGAATGGTTTTGCTTGAGTCCTGGCGAGAGCTGGGCAGGCGTCCGCGGATACCCTTTGGTTCGCCTTAGGGAGATGTGGGGCGTCACACATCTAATACAAGTGAAGGAGCTCTAGAGGACATGGTCGAAAAACATGTATATGGTTGAATAGACGGATCCACGCGACACTTTTTCTGACAATCATGTGAGCTCTGTCCCTCAATATAACTACTTGTTATGCACACTTGGAGATTTGGTTATTAAATTGTCTGTACACACCAAATTTTTGGTGTAATTTCATTTTTAGTTTTTTATTTGTCATGTTCGTTTTTTAGTTTTTAGTTTCTAGTTTTATTATTATTTTTAAGTTCCTTAGCATAGAATTTCTCGGGAAAAAGAAAAAGCATTCAAAAAATATGCTTTAGTTGTTTTGATTTAAATTCCATGTTTTCTTGAAGAAAAGGAAAAGAAAAGGAAAAAGATGAAAATGAAGAAAAGAGATTGAAAAATGGCAACTTGGTTTTTGTTTGTTTATTTTGATGTGATGTTACTTAAATTGTTGTTTTTTATTAGTATTATTATTACTTAATTTTATTATTAATTTTGTTAAATTACTTTTCAAAAAAAAAAAAAAAGGATACGCGGCATAAAGCTGCGTATTGTTGCAGCTTGCAAAAAACAAGCTCGGGGAGCCCCTTGGGTTGCAAATATAGGAGATGGCTGGAGTTTTAGGGTTAGGAACCCCATATAAATAGAAAAAAAGAAGGGCAGCCGCAAAGGGGGAGAGTTTTTGGAGATAAAGAGAGATGAAAACTGACGGCTGAAAAACTGAGGGCTTAGAGAGTGTTGGCGGTGGGAAAACAAAGAAAAAGAAAACCAGCAAAAGGGAAAAGATGGAGAGGTTTTGACGGCAAAGGAGAGAAAGATAAACAAAAATCAGAGAGAGTTTTTCTTACGGCTGGGGAAAGAAAAGGAAGTAGCGGCAGAGGTTGAAGTAAAAAGGAGCCGAAAGCAAGAGAGAGACCAAGGGAGCTGGGGGAGGTGACGGAAAAAAAACCAGCAAAGGGAAAGAGAGAAACTGAGGAGAAGGGCTTCATCTGAGGAGTGAACGGCTGGGGATTAAGGGAAGTGATAGCTGCAAATCTGGAGTGGACGGCCAAGGAAAAATCTAAAGAGAGCATACGGATTTTGGCAACGGCTGAACTGAGGAAAAATTCTGAGGGAGGCTAAGGCAGAGGGCTACGAGAGGAGAGGAGGAGAGCTTCAGGAAAAGGGAACGCAGGAAGAATCCATCATCATCTGGGACAGTCGTTGCTTACCGAATCCAACCTCATCGTCGCTGCCGAATCTTCACCCAAACATAGCGTTGTAAGCCTCTTTGTTTGCCTTCTCTTACAAATAGCTTTCCAAATCTTGGATTCTTGTTCGGTATGTTGACGGCTGATGTTGATGATTCTCTTATGAGTGGGGTTTTATGTTGTATGCTAGAACTTTTGGACTAAAATTTTGACTGCAATCAAATTGGACCTTTGTGGCCAGTTCTTTTCTTTTGTTTGCTGAGATTACAGTTTGTGTTTGCATGATGTTCAGTTTGGTTTTTGATTGAAAAGTTATAACTTTCTCCAATTTGATGACCGAAAGGCTGTGTCTTGGGTCTCTATTTGCATAACTTGGGCCTGTTAAGATCCTTAGAGTCATAGTGCGAGGTTTAGCTGTCAGAAACTTGATTTTTCTTCGTTGGTTGCAGCAGTTTTGAGTCCGAAAGGCAGCAGTTTTGAATGGCATGATGTTGCTTTGAAATTTCTTGTA